TGGCAATTTTTGTATTTCAAGTCAGACTTGTTATATTGAGATATACACTTTGACTGTCAGGTAAGACAGGAATTTTCAGAAAGACAATATCTCTTTGTGTGCAATTCATTAGGTGTACTAACAGCACCGGTTCTTTTAGAAAACGTTTACTTGAACAATTGAATTTATGCTTCACAACAGAGTTAGATAGACATGTTTATCTTGCACCCCAACCTCAGTCTCACACAAGTCTAACTCTATGTTGAATTGTTATTGTTTATGTCACAATCCAACCCCTGTTTCCGTTTTTTGGCTCATGTTGCTACACTCATTGAGTGGGCAAGAAAGAAAAAAAGACAACCATCGCACAATTAATGTTTGTTAATGTTGTCATGAAATACTAAGAAGAGTAAAACTTGCCTAGGCCCAGACTCTTTCCACCTTAATACAAAAAAAAGCAAATCAATTGGCAAAAGAAGCGTTTAAATGATATTGACAATTCCTTTTTTTGTCACTACATGAGTTTTCTATTAAGAAAACACCTGCTCAGACTGGCATGCATACCACTGACTTTGAACCTCTGACCCACGACCCTTAACATTCAGATTCCAATGCTATAATGACCCAGCCAGATGCCAACACAGGTGCATGTGGCTCTGACTACCCACAGAGATGATGTGATGCCCAGTGGTTGCATCCAGGCAGTGCACTGAGCCCAGGATTCCAGCCACCTTCCAGCCAGGCGCTCTGCTTCCCTCATTAGGGACTCCGGCTGCGACCCCAAACCAATGAGCACGACAGATTCCCCAGAGAACCTTAGCCAGCACTCTGTGGTAACACGTGTGACACACTGGCTGCACATTTTCCAATTCAAACAAGCCAGAGGAGCTCAGTAATAATGTGTACTTTCCTGTTATTTCTAGATAGACTCAACCACTACTCTACAAGAATGTGATTAGGAAGAATAAATCAAGAAGCCAAGGCGCAGATGCTTTCAGGTTTGCGGCCACTATTTCCTTGTCTCTGTATTTGTGTTCATTTCCCTTTTTCTGTCATTCCCATATTTCGTTGCTTCCTCCCTATCAGTGCTTTACTGTAAACAGTTATGAAAGAGAATGACTCATGGTGCTGTAATGTGATAGGAGGAGCGTGGCTTGAGATCAAAATAATAACTGAAGTTTCAAGGACAGGAGTGCGTAAAGACCGGCTACACACAGGGACGTTATTTGACTTTGATTGTTATTAATGTGACAAACTAAATGAGCCGTGTCAAAGGATGTGGAATCGATGCGAGGTCCCTGAATTCATGTCGTTGGTTTTGTAATAGCTTGACAAATCCTCTGTGGTGTCATATCTGTGAGAGCATTACTCACAAATTGCCAAGAATAGTTGCAATACTCACACAAGCACATTTAGTCACCCACAGATGAACACATTGAAATACATGTGCACACCAGCACTGTAATGGTTCAGTGTTTCAACAGCTGGTACCAGACTAGAAGCCAGCACAAACGCTGACATGGACCATCAGTGTGAAGCCTAAGGCAGGTAGCACATACAACCCAACACAGACAAACTTGTGTAGCGTTTTGTGACGGATCAACCTTATTTATCCACAAAGCTTTACGGTCTTAACTTCAAAAACACTGACCTGCTGTCGGTGTTCACAAGGTTATATAATGCATCTGTACAGTCATTCGGGCTAAACACAGGCTTGATTGTAATGCCTGAGCGAGTTTGCAGCACGCCTTTAACAGGAGGATGATCTTGAGTCTATTTCACCATAATATTAATGTCCTGATTGGTTTTCCAAAACGGTATCTGATCCCAATCCAGGTTTGTGGAGCAGGGAGTGCATTTTGAGAGTGCTGGTTTCCCCATCTGTGTGACCACAGTGCTGGGCTGCTCTCCCTGCATCTGTCTGCCCTCTGTTCCCACGCCTCTTTCTGGGCTAAATACATATTTCGAGAAATAGTGAGCGGCAAATCATACGTCCTGCTCTCTCAATGCACCCAAACCCTACTCACAGCCCTTTTGACTTCTTTTACAGAGGTGGAGAAACTGGATTTGGCTTTAGGTCAGGACTGGACCAAATCAAAGTTTGTTTATCCAGGTAAACTTTGCTGAGCATGCTCTCTTTCAGATGGTGCCTGCTTTAAATTCACATAGTACAGTTTGGAGCCATATAGCAGCCATTTACTACTACCATCTTTCACTGAGAGCTTGAATGGAGCTGAGACAGTGTTGCTCAAAGTCAAAACTAGCTTTCAATAAAGGAACGTGTGAAACACATGAAACATTTAAAAAAGTCCCACAAAAAACCTCAAATGGGCCTACACTCAGAAAACTATTCAGCCATCCGGACAAGAGTTTAACAGGCAACTTTGTGCCAGTCATGAAGAAGAGCAATTACTTCATAGCCACTTCCACTGTCCATTAGTAAAGCTACTACTCTGCACTTTAACATGCCACATAGTACCATCAATACAAATGATACCAGGAAGCTCGTGCTATTTCCCTTTGAGGAGAAATGAATAACAAATGGATTCTTCTGTATAGCTGCACTATGGGTTCCACCAGTGCTGTGGAGCCATTTGAACACATACAAAGCAGAATAAAAAGGTTCCAGGGTATGAGTGTGTGTGAATGTGTGTGTATGTAATTGTGTTTGTGCAAGTGTGTGCATGAGTAATGAATAAGATCCTGGCACATCACAACCGGGTTCCTCTAACGCACTCCCTGTAGACCAGAAGGAATAAACAGATAAAGATGAAGTGGACGTGAATGCAATCGCAAAGACAAAAAAAGAGAGAGCTGAGAGCGAGAGTGAGCAAAAGAGGGCAGGAGAGGGAGGGAGTTTTCAGAATTGTTATTGGAGCCGTAGAAGTCATTTCTGACTTAAAGAGTTCCAGATGTGGGCCAGCCCCTGAGAAAGAGTCAGAGAGGAATCAAGAGGGAGGCATATTTATCAGACTGTACCCTTCCATATGATCAGGAGTCTACCCTCCCGTTTTGAGATCATCTGGTTTAAGAGCGGAACGTGGACCTTTGCTTTTGTGGACACTGATGGTGGTGGTGGTTGCGGGGGGAAGGGGACTTCAGCTGCAGGGGGGGTGTAGGTTTAGGGTGTGGGGTGTCAGGTGGTAAGGTGGTAGAGGGGTGTGTGGCTTGCAAAGCCCAGTTTTAGAACTATAAAAAGCTAGGGTGGTCAGAATAATAGTCTGTTGTTATTACACACACACACACACACACACACACACACACACACACACACACACACACACACACACACACACACACACACTTCTTTGTCCCAAGCATATAGCTAGACCAATAATAATGTATACGTTCCTTTAACAGGCCGTTCCTGCTGCTGCCTCCTCTGATGGAGTGGATGAGAGTCGCCATAGTTCATGCTGAGCATCGCAAGAGTCTATTGGTGGACAGCGATGATGTCAGACAGACTGCCAGGCTACTCCTTCCAGGACTGGACTGTGAACCAAGACAGCTGAAGTAAATATGCACACACACACACACACACACACACACACACACACACACACACACACACACACACACACACACACACACACACACACACTGGTCTTTCTCAAAACCAATGACCGAACTCACCAAAATAGAACCCGACCAAAAGACGTCCGGTTTAAAACTGGGACAAAAGCTGCTTTTTAACTTTATTTGCAATGAAATAGCTCCAACTAAAGCACATGGCGAGCAAATGCAATGCCTTACTGAACACTTGCTAACTTCAATGGAGTGCACATTATGAATAAACCATTCCACTCTGAAAACAATATGAAATGTAAATTGTCAGTGAATGAGTGTGTGTGCGATTACTGTGTTTTAAGTGCTGGATCGATCTTAGACCTGTAGGAAGTTGGCACAGTTAACAGCATTACTCTCGGTATGTGCAAGCATGGCAAGCAAAGGTGCTCCTGCATGATAATGTCTTCATTTAGAACCACAGGGCCCTGTCATAATGATTATCTCCAGTTATTTTTCTCTCTCTCTGTAATGTATGTGTATGTCCTTGGGTGTGTATGCTCAGATTGCACAGCGTTTGTTTTCCCTCCCTCTGTGTTGAGCTAAGCTGCACGATCACACAATAAAAGGCCATTGTGCTGAAGAGAAAAGCTCTGCTCCGGGGAGCTGGTAGTGGGCCACAAACAAAGGCTGGTTACAATGTCCGAACACAAGCTCATGAATCAACTCTACACTGGGCTGCCAAAGACAGCCACAGAAGGAGCGCTATGGGTTTGAGGAATAGGGAAGTGAAAGAGAAACGATTGAGGATGGATGTGAGGGTGGAGTAAACAAATGGAGCAGGATGCACAGCTGGAGATGTGAGGGAGAGAGGTGGAAGATATGTGGATATTGTGGTGGGTGAAGGGGTTTGTCCAAGAGGAGGAGAGCGAGATGAGGAAATGGAAGGAAGGGAGGATTTGAAAGGAGTGCAGCCAACACAGCAGGAGGATGAGAGGCGAAGTCAGCGTAAACGGAGAGCTGTGTCAACAGACAAGCCTCCCGCCTGTGCTGTAAAGGCTCTCTGCGCCCCCAAATCACCACAGCAGAACAAGAGTGACATGTGAAGGCTCAATATCCAACTGACCAATGAGAGGGAAGTCGTTCAAGTCAAATGTGGAATCCAGCAGTCATTTCTCCTGTTACGACATTGAAATACCTTCTTTGTTTGTATCATATGTTCTGTTTTTTCCTATTCTGACAGATCAAATTAGCAACAACTTCATCCAACCCTCATGCACAAAGAGCTGCTATTGTATCCAGCTGCAGAACACTCTGAGGGAGTGGAAAGTGTTGACTAGCATTAAGGAAGGGTGTGTTACAGAAAATGAAAAACGTTTTGGGTGAAGTTTGACATCCTCATCACCACACAGCAAAACATATTGAAAGCTGACATTTGGATACATTTTCACACAGAACATCTGGACATTATATTGAAATAAGTGCACTGAATCAAATACATCTGTAAAAGTATTTACCATTGGCGTTCTTCCCGCAGATCAGGTGCTCATAGTGCTGCAGGACTCCCCAAAGCTCAGCGTCATTGTTCACCACCCCCTCCAGGGCCTCTGCGCTCACCGGGTAGCATGATGACCCCGAATCCGGCCCTGGGTGACCCCTCTCGGCCATCAGCACCCGGGCTCCTATCTCCTCCACCAGGGCTTCCATGCATGCGGTCAGGCATATTGCTGCGTACTCGTGGATGCGCACGGAGATGCGTGTGTCCACCATCCAGCGGAAGAAGCGCCCCACGGAGAAGGAGAGGCCGCAGCGGGCCGACTTGCCCTTTCTCAGCAGCTCCCCGGCGCTCATGCTATACATGGAGATGGCCTTGACCGTAGCAGAGACGCAGTGGTCGGCCAGGGCCCAGCTGAGCACCAGCCTCATGGCACTCTGCACCTCGAAGCGCGTGCAGCGGCAGTGCATGACGCTGAGCCGCTGAGCCTCTCTGGAGATGCGGATGAGAGCCCGGCGGAGGAGAGCGGACAGCCGCCGCACGGCATCCGGGGAGAACACAGGTGTGGGTCCGCCTTTCATGCCCCCACTCCCGGCCACTTTGCGAAGTATCTTAGCCACCTCATCTTCGGTCCAGGGGAACTCTTCCAACTCAGGTAAGCGGGGACACTTTGAGAATATGTCCTCCGGGTCTTCGGGGAGGACCGTGTTGACCGTATCCCAGCTGTTGTTCCTGCTGTTCATAGAGCCGGAGTAGTACCACCAGTTTCCCCGATGAGGGATCGTCATAAAGGCCTGCGAGTTGGACTTGGAGGAGGACAGGCTGAGGGATTTACACGAGTCCCCCGCCCCATAGCCAGAGTCCAGGGTGAGGTCCTCCAGGGTTTTCATGTGGGCATTGCTCAAACCAGCCATTATTGTGAAACTGTTTGAACAAGGGTTTTGATGCAAAGCGGCAAACCTGGTGATCGGTTTACCTGAAGTCAGTCAAGCAGCAGTCGAAACTCCCCGCAGAGCTGGAAGAACTGGTTACACAGCGGCACCGTTGACTGACATGCTGCTAAACGCCTAGTTCAGTGCAGGATAGAGAAATGACACAACTTCACACGCTGGTAAAATGCTGCTCGATAGCTAATATGTTGTTGTTATCATCAAATGAGTAAGCCGGGGAAGTCAAAGTCGCACCCGTCTCACCTTTCCCCCGGGCAGCGCAGGGATTTAAACTTTCCTCCAGTATCCAAACTCTTTAACATACGACGGAGTGTCTCCCAGCTCTCTGAAAACAGCCAGACCTGAGTTCATTTGTTACAATATATCCCGTATTGTTGACCAGCAGACCGAAACGTTTTCGTAGATAACCGTGGAAAAGTCCGAAACTAGCTCATCCCACTCCGTCCCGGACGGTGCTCGGTCAGGAACAGGCTGTTGGATACACTCGGCTACAGATGTGTGAAAGGAGGGTCCGCTGCTGAATGACAACACGGAAGCAGCTCAAGTACCAATCAGGAGAGGGACGATTTCTGCGGGCAGCCAATCAGGACTCGCTCCAAATGTTTGCTTTATTTTGGAGAATAAGTAGGCTACATTAGTTTTGCCTCAGATAAGCACAAATTCCCTCAACATGTGTGAACTACAAATGGCTGTATTTGCTTCTAGGTTTGATATACACACTTTTCTTCACATTCACTCAAAAATCATTTTAACATCACTTTTAACTATGTATGTTTACCATGGTTTCAGTCTTTATTTGTATCTTATAATAACAATTTCAACCACACATATACATATAGTAATGTTTAGTCAACACATTTCAGTAATACATGACTGAATAAATCCGTGGCTAGATTTTCCCTATAAGTTATTATACTAATGGGTCTGGGGCAATTCTTCATAGTCACATAAACCAAACTTCAAATCAAGCAGATGTTATACTCTGTTGACCCTGGACATGAGCTCATCTCTCACCTGTACCCTGTTACATACATTGAATCTCTAAAGCTCTTGGTAATATTGCAAGAGGTGGGGTGTTTACTTTTATTTAATTAGGCTTAAGGATTTCACTGAAAGTGCATTTCCAAATCTTATTTGGGATTATAAGGGAGACACGTGTGTTGTAACATGCGGCTTAAAAAAGCAAATGCCATTTTACTTCTTTTAAATGTACTTCCAAATTGTAATTTGGAAACTGTGTACTGCTTATATGTTTCATCAGTCCATACTCTGTGCTAATTGATTGCGGTTTATAGAGATCATTTAAAAAATGTGTCAGATCTTGCTTTCAAAACAACTTGTAAATGCTCTTACAAAACTTCAGTTTGAAGCACTGCATGTCTCTGTTTGTTGTTTCTGGTTAGGTGCTGTAACCTGCTTGAGATCAATAAAGCAAACTTGTTGAAGAGGCCTATGAGTATACTGCTTCTCATCACTCCACACTCACTTAGACAGGTATGGGCATGCCTCCACTGGGAGAGAATCCAACACTTTTACATAATGAGTTTGTGTAAACAGTCACACTACTGCAACACATTGTGAAAGTGCACTGTGTCTTGTACATAATATACAGACATGTGACATGTTATAGGACATATTGGTATGTACTTTTAAAGATACATTTTAAAGTGAAAAAGTGACTGACACACCATCATCATGGTCTATGAATCATTCAGTCAGGGGATCTGTGTAGGGTCAACCTTTCAGTCCATTAAACCCCCAAAGATTTGCGCTCCTAGTCAAACTCCTCCAAATTAGTTTAGAATACACACAGGGCTTAGAGGAGATCACAGAAAGTTAGCACTTGCCTCATCCTCATGGAGCTTTGGTGTGGACATTGCTTACCTCATGGTTTCTGTGTGCGTGCAGGGCAGACCCCCACCCAGAGCAAAGTGGCACACAGGGGGGATCAACAACTCAAAAGAAAAACAAAAAACTCTGCAATTGATTACATTTGGCCCTGGAAACATTACAGCTCTGTTGGAGTTCAACATGTTTCCTAATGTTTATTTTTCTATTTGTAGGTCATAAAACACAATCGATGCATTTAACTCAGAATGGTAACTTAATAAACCGATGTCAGTCCTAAAGAGTACACAGTCAGGGTTGCACAGTGTTTTAACATGTCATATTTACTTTGTACATGTATCTATCAATTCTAACTGATCAGGGCTTGTTTGAATCATGGCAACATGTGTTTCAAGTCATGAATTTGAACATTTCATAATATATTGTCATACTGATATTCTGTACAAACTGTGAAGTCCACTGAGACAAATGTAACATTTGTGATATTGGGCTATATAAATAAACATTGATTGATTGATTGATTGATCTAGCTGAATATACTTATAAGTATTTAATTAAAAAATAAATTAAAAGGCCATTAGTGGTTGTTTGATCCACAGTCACTTCCTACATTTTACAAAACCATTGACCTTGTAACAATCCTTTGCCGGAAATAACAATTAAAACACACTTCATGTCCCCTTATGAGCGTAAGATTTTTTTAAAACTTTTTGCATAAAGGAAGTGATCTGAGACAGTCTTCTGTTTGTGTGCGAGTGTGTAGGAGGGGGATTTTTCAAACTTCTCGAAAATGTTCGTCTATCTACTCACTCTATGACGTCTTCTCTCCTACACTTAATAAACCCATTTCCTGCTGAAACTACGTCAACTTATTCTTAATTTTCTTGTCTCTGATCTTGAAGTCATGCAACCACTGTATGTCTGCGGGTTAAAGAATGTATGTGTGGAGCGCCCCCTGTTGGTAAAATAGGAAAGAGTTGTTTTGAATTATATATTTTACAATTGTCTCACAGAAAAGATACAAAGAAAATATGCATCTGAAAAAATTATATGGACGTAAGCATAAAAGTTTATTTGCAAAAAAAACAACAAATCAAAAAAAGTACAATACATTCTTAAAACCTTTTCTCTACAAAACAATTTCACAGAAATTACCTTGGAATGTATATTCCTATTTTTCATTTTTACGTTTGTTATATATTTAGTCTTATATTTAATGTGTTTCTTTTGTTCTTTAAATAGTCCCATATCAGTATAAATTGGCCTACAGTGAAGACCTTTTTTCCTGTAGAGTCAAAGAAAGGGTCATGGATGACATTTTGACAATCATATAGTCAATAACAGATCATTACATCTCATCCACATATATGTCCAGTCTAAGCCTTCCAGCCACTCCCCATCAATATAAGTACCATGTTGCATAAACAGAGGCATTAGGAGCACGGCCTCCAGCCAAACTAATGGAAGCAGGTGGAGTCCGGCTGTACTGCAGCTGCCTGTGAGTCTCCATCACACCTCCGTATTTCACTCAGTAGTCATTAGTACCATCTCCGTGTATCTCACCAATGGGGCAACTGGCTTTAAACCACTCCTTTCTAGTAGTATAACGGACACACTGACACCTCTGTAATCCATTGAAGAGAACTGTATCCGTCTTACAATGTAGCTGGATGTACAGTGACATTACAGCCTGCTGATAAATAACTGTGATTTGTCCCTTGCCCTCCTCTGTCATTAGAATAGTTTAAAAACTGCCAGCAGCCAAACCCTGATAAAGGCACACATTTGTGAAACAGCCATGCCTTGCCACGACACATTAACTGGTCTCCCTTCTGTTCGAGCTTTGTGCAAGTCGAAAAAGAAGAGTGTTGATGTTTTTCGATAGCTAAGCATTTCCTGTCTTGGTGGTAGAGATCCCACAAATCCAATATTTGAAATGACACTCTAAGCTCGGAAAATGCCTAATAAAATGTGACAACATTAAATAAAATGTCAGAAAGACGTTGTTGTCTTCTCCTTCCCTCATGTAAGAGTTGTCTGTTCCAGTTGATGATACAAATACATAAGAGATGTGGAGGGAATAGAGGATATTGTAAATTAAACGTTGTAAACTGTTCACAAATTCAGTGTTTAAGAAAATAAAAAAGCACCCCAAATATTTGTGCATTCGTACTCAGTGAGGACACTCAAAACGTTTAAATAACAAACAGTACAACAAAAATGAATCAAGCCATAGCTGATAGCTACCATTAATATGGGTGGAGCAATGTTTCAACAAAAACAAAATGAAATTGACTGAAGGTTATAAAAGATACAGAGGGAGAGAGAGGGAAAGAGAGAGATATAAAGATGACGTATCTTTCAGTATCTGTTTGGAAAAGGGCATTACTGTTTCAAAAACTTTCAATTATTCATAATATCATGTTATCAGGAGAATATCAACACGTCGGACATACTGGTTATTGATAACCAACAGGTAGTATTTTATGTATTTAGCAATTCAGAGTTCCTCTACTCGATCTACGCCACCATGTCTCAATCTATCTGAATAACATGTTCACACACATTCTATTAGGCTCTCAGGTGAGAGCGTGTTAGAAAAAAGATCTTAGGTTGTCTTCACATCTTCTTGTTAGAAAAAAAGGTGCTTCCTGTCATCGTAAGCACACACAAGCGGCAACACACCCACACACACTTATATATTTACATTACCCACACATACACACAACCACACATACACAGCTGCTTTCCAGTCTGTCTGAAAACATTGCACCAAAAGAAGGACAGAGAGAGGGAGAACAAAAACAACTCTCTAGTACAGTAGTTGAGTCAGTGAGGCAAAGTGATGACTCAGGTCTGTCTGCGTAAACAGTTCACTTGTTAAGTTCAGATTTGGACTCTGTCTTCATACCCACAAGCGTACAAGAGGGGCCGATGGCAAACAGAGGCGTCCCTGACAGGAGCCTGTAAATAAAGGCAGAGTTCAGGCAGTGAGTGAGCTCCTACAGGTCTCTCTCTCACACACAGTGGATCTGCAAGTAGTTTTAGTATCCTCCGACCAGCAGGGGGAGCTATCCCTTAGGAGTTTTCTTGTTTTGGGTGTTCCACATGCCTCGTTTGGAGTGGTAGTAGTGAAAGAAGTTTCTTAAGCGTAGTCTCTCTACCTCCAAACCATTCTGCAGTACCCTAGAAAAGGCAGGAGGGAAAATCACTGGGTTAAAACTGGGCTTATATTCATCAGCAGAAATAATTGTGTTAATCATTGCAACTGTTTCTAGGTCATGTGTAAATGACTGATGATCAGTGGCTGTCTAAAATAGGCTGATCAAATATTTTTTTCTTTTATCAGAAGTTCAAAGTCTGGCGTTTTTAAGTACGTTTCTGACGTTGATGCTCAAGATGAGAAAATAAGTTTTAGCTTTCAGAGGAAGGATTAAAGTCGAAACATTTGCATTTGGTCATCTGCAGGCATACATACACCAGTGCAGACAAGTTGCCAAAGATGCCAGACATCCACATTCCTGTAAAGTGCCAAATACACAGAACTTTCCCTGGCTGCGATAGGCATAATCAACATTGTGTGAACTCGTTTGGCAAGGGCTTTAATGTAACAGACCTTCATTTATTTGTTTTGTGTCAGTTTAGCCAACCTACATCTGGATGGCATCTAAACATGCAGACCGTTTTAGTTGAATATACTCAATTATCCATCTGGCTGCTTCGATTACCAAAGATCGCTCGTTAGTTTTAATTGCAGCAGCCCATTTTCACACACTGAACATTCAATACTGGGAGCTGGCAACATCCACTGTGCAGACTGTCAATGTTTTTCCTTCAAATGTGGTTTTTCCTGCACTTGCACCCTATTGGCATTGTGCACACTTTACACCTTCAATGTTTAAAGGTCATTTACCATATACATTATGCTACAACATTATGCTACAACATTGACAATCCAAGAAAAAATATGCAATCTGAACACAACTACCATTGAAAAGCATATAATGTGTTAACTCCAACTTTATCGTTACCATAGAGTTGACATTTCTCCAACAAAGTCTAAACTAAAACGGACTCATTAACCTTCTAATATCGTTTTCACACTGAAGGCTCAACCAGCATTGGTTTTGTGTTTGAAAAGGTTAACCACTGTTGACCGACATGACTTTGTAACCCAGGTCGAGAGGTGGGTCGGACAAGGGTCGATATCAGCGAGAAATGGGTCATGGACGCTAAACAAGCAAAACAAGACAAATTATGTCATTGGTCGCTGTTACGTAATTGTCCCAGGTCGCCATAGCTCATAAACAAACACAGCGATGGCAGCAGGAATGTCTTCAAGACTTAGAGTTGCAGGGGACAGTAAAGGAAAATGTAGTGTTGGCCAATATAATATCATTCATTGAAGAGGCTGCTGTGTTAGCTTGTTGCTGGGTTACCTGTCCAGCAGCTCCCAGTCCTCTCCCCCCCAGCGGTCTTTGAATTCCTCCGTGTTCATCCCTCCGATCTTATCAAAGTCAGTCTTATAGATTCCAAACAAGCCGAAGCCGTTCACCTCCCAGTACCCTACAGAAAGAACAAAAAGAAAGTTAAAAGGAAATATTGGTCCCATTGCAATAACAGCCTCTCGTGATGCAACAGCCTTTAGAAATTATGCATGTTAATTGAAATCTGAATTCATTTTTCATAAATTATGAATTCAAAGCTGCTGTCTGGAACTGGGGAATTAGTTTGAGTGACGGGTCAAACTTAAAGACTGGAAAATTGTGTAAATATGTGAGTGAGATAATTCCTGTATGAGCATGTATGCATGTAATGTGTTTGTTACCATCGGGCTCCCGTGGCGAACTGCCGCAGCTGAGTCTCATGACGACGGGAGCGAAAGCGAGGCGTCCCTCCACACAGTGCTTCCTTATGCTCTCCAAGATGTTGAGAGGGAAGTGGATGTGCAGATCACAAAGGAACACAATGCTATGACTATCCTGCAAGAAGAAAAAAAAAAACACACAAACGTGACACATACATCTACATTAAAAACAATTACGTCAAAAAGGAGAAATAAAAGTGTGTCTGCTTTATGATTCTGTGGATGTTCACACAAGGGGTTTTAGGATTAAAGAAAGTAGATAAGTCTGGGCATCAGAGGCTTCTCTTCACTCCCAAAGCCTGCGGGTCATTCAGACATGAGTGACGGCCATGTCATCCCACCGTGACAGCACTGACACTCAACTGACGGCTCAAAGTCTGTCCACATTTCCAGCCGCTCCACGCCCCTGTGGGTGTGCGTGCGTGAGTGACAGAGAGACAGCCAGAGAGCGGGGTAAGGACACACACACACACACACACACACACACACACACACACACACACACACACACACACACACACACACACACACACACACACACACACACACACACACACACACACACACACACACACACACACACACACACACACACACACACACACACACCACACACACACACACACACACACACACACACACACACACACACACACAACACACACACACACACACACACACACACACACACACACACACACACACACACACACACACACACACACACACACACACACACACACACACACACACACACACACACACACACACACACACACACACACACACACACAAATAACCTGTGAAAGGGACTGGATGTGACAACTTTGGCATACAGATGACACAGGAATTGCAGCTAACTGCCTAAGCGGCTCCCTGTCACCCACGGCCGGGCTCAGTGTGAGAGGGCAAACGGAGCAGGGGGAGGTAAAGGGTGAGATCCACAGCCTGTGACAGACCGCCGTGGCAGTGATGTACTCATTATGCACGAGTGTTCTTTCTGTCTGTCCATCAGTAAAGGTCATGTGGTCAGTGTGAGTGGCTGACCTTCAGAGTGTGGCTTTTTCCTGCCAGCTCACATATTGCTGTCTCTTGTGTTTGTGTCTCTAACCTCGATAGTGTCCACTCCGATCTGCAGTCCTGCCGAGCGCTCAAAGTTCCCCTCTCTCCTCAGATACTCATATCTGTCGTAACAGAAATACACACGCATCAGGTGATGCCTTGAAAATTGGGAGAAATATTGTACCTTTTACACAGCTGATTGTGTTCCATACACACACACACACACCTTGGCACACTGCTGTCTCTCAGTGCCTGCTCCACGTCCATGTCTTCGCTCTCAAAATCGACGATGATGATGCTGAAATTGTCATCCTTTGTTTGGCGATGAAGATTCTCCATGTCAGAGATGAACTGCTGTACCCAGCGGGCCTGGTTTTTCACTGAAAGACAGTAAGAAGACAACACAAAGAATAATCTTGGTTTAAAAGTTACTTCTAGACAGTTTTCTCCGTTTTGGAAGTTGACCGAAGTCCGCCTTTTGACTGACCTGGCACCACAAAATGCACCATGACATCTCTCCTCCACTGCAGCATGACAGGCTGGCAGAGCAGAGGCTTAGCGTAGGCGGTGCTCCAGGGTGTCGCTCCGGGCCTGGCGGGGGATCTGGCTGAGGGAGGGGGGGGTGGTGGTGTGGTCAGGCTGGATGTGGCAGGGGATGGGATGGAAGCTGGGGACAGAGCTGGTGAGGCCGGGGCAAAGTCAGTGTTCTCTACGCTCTCCTCCCCCATCCTGCTGCGGTGGAGCAGCAGGTAGATGTACTCGGATAGACGCACCACGCTGCGGCCTCGCTCCATCAGCTCCAGCTCCACCAGGTAGCGGTTCCCTCTCGCAGAGTCGCGCCGCTTCTCAACGTTAACGATTCGCAGCAGGGTGTAGATCCTGGGGCAGGGGGTAAAAAGGTCCCATATTGTACAAATAATCATGTTTGGTTTGTTTATAAAGCCAGTGTAGGAGTTTTATAAATACTGTATTAAAACTCTCAAAACACTGACCAATCAGGGCAGAGTTTTTTGGGGACGGGGGCTCAAAGAAAAAGTCAAGACAAACAGTATGAGAAAAAAAATGTGTTAACCTTAAAGCATGTTCACACATTCTAGTAAAAAAGTATAAACCTTATAAGGACCCCCCCCTTTAAAAAACACACATACTGTAGCTGGTACAGGGTATGATATGCAGCAAAAGGGAGAGGATGCATCTACTGTATAAAACACTATTGCTTATATAATTCGCAAAACTACATTACTTCTGCTTAATTGAGGGAAAACCACATAGAAAATGGGATTATCCATATTTAGTTGGAGGCAAGTCAGCATGGTATATTTTTAAAGGAATGGCTGAGCTATTTTTCACAAACAACATTGAGGTTTTTAAGCACTGAAGCAGCAAATGGTAATGAGCACATAGAGGTCTGCTAACATGAAGTCAAAGCACCGGGGAAACCAATATGTTGTCAGCTAAATTACTTCTTGCTTTACATAATAGTAAGCAAACAGAAACGCATTTTAACTCACACATGGTTGCAGGGGAAACTTAAACCTTCTCGTAGTCTCACATCACTCTCCCTCCCTCCCTCCCTTCTGTACTCACCCTCCGTTGCGTTCGTTGAGTTTCTCCATGTACTGCGCCAGCACGTCCACCACCTCGCTCTCGGCCAGCTGTAGGTTGCCGGACACGTTGCAGCGCAGGTCGTTCCAGTCGGAGCGCAGCAGCTCGAAGTCCATGGGGTTGACGGAGAAGGTCCTCTGCCAGTTGATGCTCTCCTCCGCCCAACCTGGCCGCGGCTCCACCTCCTCGTAGCTGTAGTCCGACAACTCTCCCTCCTCCGGTTCTGGCTCGGGGTTAGAGCGGTTTGTATCCTGGAGTTCTGCCGGGTTGGGGTCTGGCTGCTGCTGGGACTCTGTGATCTCTGAGGTCCTGAGGTAGGAGGTGACACGTGTTTGTCCTTGGAGCGTGTTCTCTGTGGAGTTTATCTTTTGCTGGGTAACAGGAGGGGGGTCTCGATGATTGGACAGCGGGTCCCTTTGGTTGGGTACATCAGTAGTATGTAAACCCCCGTGATCCCCTCTCCTCCTGCTTGTCTCTGACTGTTTGACCCCAGACTTCGGCACACTTTCACTCTGAGTGTCGATGCTTCCATTGCGAGGAGAGGTCTTACCCTCTTTTGTGGGGGGGTTGGGCCAGAGCTGAGGGGCACTAACCAGACTTTTGCCTCCTCCTCCCCCAGCATGTCCTTTGGCACCCAGGTTAACCAACCTAGTGGTCTTCCCAGTTTGGTACAGAAACACCCCCGGGAACACCTCTCTAGGGTGGCGCAATGCCCTTTCCTCCCTCCTCTCCCGACGCTGCTCCCTCTCCCTGTCCTTCTCCCGCTCCTTGGCAGGCCGAGGCCGGGTGATGTAGATCTTGTTCTCCTCCCTCTTTTTCTTCCCTCCGACCTTGTTGTTGTTGTTATCGTGGAGGTTGTTGACGTGGGCGGAGTTGCTGCGGATCTGCTTGGCTCGGCTGGCAAGGGCAGAGAGGGAGGTCTTCTGGGGGAAGAGGAGTGAAGACTTGCTCAGTTTGGGCAGGGTCTCAGCTCCCTTCTCTCCCCCGCCGCCTGTTCCTCCCCCTCCTCCTTTCCTGCCAGGACTCAGCTCTGTGGGACCAGTGCGAATCCAAGACAAGGAGCGAGGCGGGACCACGCTGTCCGTGTCGGGCTGAAGCCCCCTGGTTTGGGGCTCTTCAAGTCCCTTCCTGGTGTCCTGTCTCCCGTTTGTATGATCTCTTCCCCAGTCCAGATCTTTAGCCATCTGTCCCTCTCTGTGAGGAAAGTGTCTCCTCTCTCTGCGACGTTTGATACTGTTGACTGCCCCCTCCTCCTCTTCCTCGGGGTCCTCCTCCTCTTCTTCCCCTTCTCTCCCAGCTGGCGTGGGCGCAGTCTTCGAGTGAGGATGTGAGGGGTTGGAGGTGTGGCTGGGATGAGAGGGCTTCTTGGGCGGCTGCGTGCCAATGATCTCCGCCTCGTCCTCGAAGTCTACCACCTCCTCCTCGTCTAGGAAATCTGGAGATAGGAAGGAGAAACCAATTTGAAATGGTGTGTGTATAAATGTGTGACTGATAGAGCGTGTGTCCAATATTAGTTACCATCTGGGTTGGGGAAAAAGAACGGCCTGTCATCGTCCTCCTCATCCATCTTCATATATTTATAGAAACCAAACCTGGCAGACATTAGAGGAGGCAACACACATTCATTAACACACACAACATATTAAAAAAAGGTTGAAGTTCCAATGTGCCTTGCAGCATAATAAACTTAATCTATGAATCACTGCCTTCATATTCACACTTGAGCAGTTATTCTGCATGATCAGTCTACTCGCTCATATTTACAAGACAGGGACAAATATTCCCTCAGCTCTCAGAGAGATATAAGCAATAATGTCCTTACTTCTCTAAGTAGATAGGGGACTCTCTGTAGAAGCACTTGTTCTCTCGCTCCATGTGGGTGAGACGTGTGAAGTCATTTGGGTAAACGAAGGACAGATAGACCTGTGGAAGAAGTTCAATGTCAATCAAACATAGGAAAACACTGATCGAGGGAGTTCAGTTAGCAATACTCGAAGGGATTAGATTCAAAGCAGCATTTTAGGCAAAATCCGTTTTTCACTCTACTAAAAGCTATATTTTGTTACAGTGATTTCTGTTAAATTGGATGCATTTTAGTGGCTCATTTCCACTTATCTCCGCAACTGCTGCAGTAACACACAACAGCCTAAAGGGGGCAACACTGCCTACCACATGCTTCATCAATGTGTTGGTTTGAACAGTGGTGATGTACAAACCAGCATGCCCTCTGTCCAGTTGATATGAATATTATGCTGACTCTGTAGGTTTGAACTTATTTCATAATTCTGACTAGCCTATAGATCTCACACACATACACACAAAAACACATTACATTTCTTTATAAGCATCTATTTTTCCGAAGAAGAGGGAAGGAGACTTACAAACTGCAGGCCCTGGTATCTGGCGATGGGGAAATCTTTGACTACGTAGGTTGGAGAGTAGAGACAGGCCGGAAGAACGTTTTCCAGTCGGGAGGGGTCGATCATAGGAACTGAGGAGAATATTTAAGATCAGGTACACAAATACGTATTCTGCTTTAAATAAATATAAAATAAAGAAAGCTGGGAGATGATCAGGGCAATGTCAAAACCAGGGAAACACATCAAATGTAAAACAGCACGCCAGAAGGAATGACAGTCTGAATAATACAGTCGAACTGACAGCCAGAGAGACTGAGAGCCAGACAGTCAATCAGTCACAGGAAAATGACAGGCCATAAAATCTGGATGAAGACAGAAAGAAGGGGAGGATGAGTGGCAGATTTACTGCTATAGAAGGTGTCCCTGGGGTCCGGCTTCAGCATATCCGCTCCGTGCTGCAGGACACCCCCTCCCTCCAGAGCCTGGGGGTGAAACTCCTCCGGGAGACGGATGTGACTGGCCAAGGTCTGAGGGATGTGGTCCACGGCGTTCATCTTCAGATCGGATTCATCTGAAAAATACCGAGAAAGAGGGAAAGATGATGTAGAAGATGGAAAGAGGAAGATCAGTATTTCACTCACTGTTTGGATTATCTTTATGACGGGCACATTTGATTTGCATCATCACGAATCGATACCCACCATGAAAATTGACAAAAAAGACAAATGAACGGCAGAGAGGAGAGAAAAACAGGAAGAAGAGGAGGTGGAACAGTGAGAGGCTCAGAAACAGAGTTGGAAAAAACAAAACAAATACAGAGCAAAGCAGAGTCATAATTATACCAAATCGATAGCACGAGAGGAGGAGAGCGCATCTGTGATTAATGGCATGTCAGGAGCAAGGCCTGATGGGAGAAATGCTTCATAATTAACAGGGTGGTCAGCATCATTTTCATCCTCCAGAGGGTGGAGGGCGCACATTGGGTGTGTGAACGCCACACAGAGAAAGCTTCTTTTTAGACGCCCTTTCTTCTAACAATAAAACATCTGTTGATCTCACATACATGGCTTTACACTTCACTCAAGCCAGCTGTAATTCATTATCTATGTTACGGAAATACTCAAAAGAAGCAAACAAACAAAGAAAACAACATAACTCTTTTGATTTATTTCCATCATGTTGCAGATGTCGTCGGGGTGTAATAAAAGAAGAGTCAACATTATTTCTGTATGGCACAAACCTCATTCAGATGGTAATACCACGCACATTTAGCACCCGTTAACGGTGTTGTGATTATTTGAATTTCCTGGTCTGTGTACCAAATGCGTATGCGTGTGTGATGGTGTAAATTCATTAACGGCTACCATCTGGGTGGCGCTGTTATGTACACGGCCACTGATTCTGTAGTAAAAAAGTATTATCGCACCACTAAAGGGGATTTAGAAACCATAAGGAATTGTTGTGGATACTGAACTGCCCTGCAAAGTAAGATAATAATAATATATATTATCCTGACATAAATGAGCATTTCATTTGTAAAAATGCAATAACACGGTAAAACTGCTTTAGGTCAGTATAGGATCTTTGCCACAAAGATGGATGTGGAGAAATATTTCCAGATGAGATACCATGTGTGGAAATATTCAATACTCACTTATAAGATAAGTTACCTGGAAAACTAACTTACAAATACAACATTAGAACAAATACTGTATTCTTGGTTTTCTACAGACTGGATATGAGCTGAAAAACTTACTTTATGAATACTTATTTACGTCTCATGTCAAAATATATCCCAAATGTAGGCAATCTGACACTGGTTGCTGAGTCACCCATGTATTTACCTCTGACCACAACTCTGTGATTGAGGCTCATAGTTTGAGAATGTTCCTATTAAATGTTACAACTGCCTAACACACAATGACGTTAATTGAAATCCAATCTGACATTTAATTAAACTAAGTAATGCAAAGGACAAGTATAGCTGAGTGAGCTTACAAATGTTTCTCTGTGTCAAATGGGAATGAATATTAAACACTTTCCACAGTGAGAGAATGGAGAAACCGGGTAAGATAGAGGGCATGGCATAAATGGAGGAGCAGTGATGGATGGGTGGAGGGGGACAGATGAGGAGATGGTAATGTCTGAAGCCAGCAGGTGACCTCATATTCAGTACAAGGCCTCCTTTTTCACTGTCGTAGCCGGTCATAAACAAGAAGGCATACATCCCTAGCTACCTGCTTTCCCAAAATGACAACTCCACACATCATTCTGTGTGCAGCTGGCATTTCCCCTTGTTAAAAATACTTGCTATTCTTGGAGCTATAGAGGTTAGACATCTACTCGGGAGCTCTCATCTCTGCTCCTATAGAGAAGAAATAGAGCATCCAATAGATTCTGTATCTTGTCTTTGGTCCTACATAGAGTAAACATGGCATGACCTCAATTATGCAGCTTCCCTATGCGAAATAACTAATATAAAATAAGGACAACTGACAATAAATGTGGGTTTGTTTGAGGGGAAGGCAGGTGAACATATTTGATCAAAAAGGAAAATGTTTATGGTTGAATACCAGATTAGATGCATCTTTTTTAATAGCATCAGTTGCTGTTTCTATTTCTGAGAACTAGGCTAAACAAAAAGACTAGAAATAGAAAAGACAAAGAGTCGCATGTGTATCAATGCCACAAATATCTGTTATTTACAAATTCATTATCCAGTTTATTTCATTTCCAAGACAGTATGAGAAAAATGTGTCATTAGAGCAGCAGAACAGAACAGCTCTTACCTGTATACAGGGAGATGTAGGCCGAGTCGATCACTTCATATTTCAGACCAGGGAGGAACGGACGCCACTGTTTGTGAAAGAGAGAAAAGGGATTGTGTGAGAGGAGAAAACTAAATGTCAACACGTGGAAAGTATAATGTGAACAGAAATCGCCCATCACTGTTTCCAGGCTAAACTGTGACACGTTGGGTGTTATTATCGATCACAGCGACATCACAGGATCGATCTGATGCTGGGTTTTTGTATAAACACACTTAGCAAGAGAGAGAGAGAAAAAAGAAAAGTGTGGCACGTGGAAAGAGAACAAGAAACGTGAGACTGGAGGGATATGAAGGAAGGGAAGGAATGAGAAAACAAGAGCAACAACAGAAACACCTGAGAAAATAGACTGTGAGCGGAGCGAGAGTGAAGAGGAAGATCTAGTTATGACCTGAAAACTGAGAGGCAAGGGGGGAGGAATAGAGAGAGGGGGAGAAAGAGAGTGAGAGAAAGAGAGGGATGCTACGATTCTTTTAAATAGATTTCACAATTATCCCGTCACTTCTGGTTACCGCGGATATAATGGCAGGAGACAGGTCATTTTCTAACCCTCGGGTTGAGAATACAAATATAAACTCCCTCCTTAGGCTCATGCTAATTTTTCCAAGTGCAAAAATGCAAAACAAATACACAAACACATTCACCGTTTTAGATTCTGCAACTCATGTAGCACCAATGGCTGACATGTGAAAGCCAGCATTTGTTTTTTAAGATATCTATACTGTTTGCTACTTCTTCACAATGACGCTTGTTAGGGAAATAATTGTCCTAGACTCCTAGATATGACGTACAGGACCAACCCTGACGTCTGTTTACCTCCTTTAAGGACACAGGCTGTTTCAGCCAATAATGTTATTGTTCCCATTCTGTGACCGGTCAATACTGGGTCACAGATGGTCTGTATTGTGGGTACACTGGGACACTTCCTTCTCTGTTGTCTGAGGACTCCAGGGCATGACATATGCAAGGCCATAAGTGGCGGAAGCTGGTAACTTAGTGTGCCCAAACTATCTAAAGCTATCTTATCAAAACATGTTGATGACTCTCTGTGGAACCAGTTAAATGGGCTGGCAAGAGAGAGGCTCTCCAGAATTGACGTGGCAACTCTACCGTGAAGTCAGAACCTCTGACTCTTGGACTTGTGATGTGAATCCTCCGGCCGTAACTCCAAATAAACCATCAGTGTTTGACATCAAAGCTACTGCTCCTACCGTGTCTCCTTCCTGAGTCGGTGACTCCCACTGCATAGCTACACAGAAGTTTCCTCTACAACGCTGACACTGGAAAACAAGGGGCACACATGCCAAAAACAAGTGCACATAAAAAAGAACAACAAACAAGGACACAGTGCGGTGTCATGCTGTGCAGCAGCAGGGAGCAGCTCTGCAGGCCACCAAAGGCTTCAGCTTTGTGTCATTATTTCAGGGGGATTGTTGTCAAGGTCGAGGCAGGCGGCTGTCATGGAAGGACGAAACATTGAAGACCATATATGAGTTGTTATTTAGGATTTTAAGTCTAACTCGCAGCAGAATCACAGCACAGACTACAAGTGTTCAACTATCGCAAAGTTTTCATTGATTTCTAAAACAACACAAGTTCATTCTTAAACTTGCACGCAGTTGTTTGGCGGAAAAATCGTATCACAAGTTTGACTTTCTAGCTGTTTCTGCATTGTAATAAAGTGTGTTGCAGTCTTATTCTGGATATTTGTATTGCAACAGTAGTACAGTATGTTTATATTTGCTGTTAATGTATTGTTTTATTATATTTGTATCTTATTCTATCTTTAAATACTTTTCACTCATGTGTAATACTTGACAACACTGCTCCTGTGACAAAATCACTTCCCAATTTGGGATGAATAACGTATCTATCTATCTATCTATCTATCTATCTATCTATACTGTTGTTTGTTAGCTGTATTGATGCAAAATGAGAAAGCAAATGGACATGGCTCTTTTTTCTGCTAATGATTATCAAACAAAGCATTTTTTTGCACATTTTAAAATATTAACCAATGACAGTTGATGCTTGGACTTTTTGTTTGTGCTGCATATGCTTGAAATCCCCTCCCTCGCTGTGCCCCATAGATTCTCTGATTATTTCCTTCTAGGGAGGAATTGACCAAGTGAACATTGAGATGTGTGTGTGTTTTCAGAGTCTTTTTGTGTGTGACTGTGGGTGTGTATGCTGTGTGTACGGGCGCGTCCTCTGTGAAATAGTGTTGACAGGGAGGCCTGTTCGCTGGCCCCAAGAGTTCAACAGAGGAGAAAGAAAATCAATATCCAGGAGGAAATAATAAAAAGTACCAATCGCAGAGCAAAATGGCAACGGGCAGCCGACAGTGTTGTTTCATCACGTTTCATCATTCCTCGACCACCCACTGACGTTTAGATATGGTTTTCATTCAGCCGGCCCATAGTGGGTTCTGCTCCAACCTGGAGAGTGTGGTTTAATGCTCTCTGGAGTTACATACTGTACTCAATGCAGCACACACACACACACACACACACACACACACACACACACACACACACACACACACACACACACACACACACACACACACACACACACACACACACACACACACACACACACACACACACACACACACACACACACACACACACACACACACACACACACACACACACACACACACACACACACACACACACACACACACACACACACACACACACACACACACACACACACACACACACACACACACACACACACACACACACACACACACACACACACACACACACACACACACACACACACACACACACACACACACACACACACACACACACACACAGTTTGCCTCCGGGCCCATCAAGCGCAGGTTATTTTTTATTCCTAGATGATTAGGAGTTTATTGTTCCTGAGACTGCTGACTGTTGTATTAGTTTATTTCCTTTAATTCAATTGGCTGTCTCAGAGCCTAAGGCACTATGGATATTAAGTTATTTTGTCGGTGTGACACATAAGAGGTAAAGACATAATGAAACTATCTGACCTTTACCAGTTTACGTAAAAATCAATTTAGATTTCAGGTACAATAACAGAAAGTAAACACTTCCATTTAGTAGTGTTACAGCCCTCTCTTGAATTGTCTAGGGTATTAATGGAATAAAGGCGAATTTAATAAGAAAGCTTTAACCGGTCAGAGGCTGTCGATCCAGTTTCCATGTCTATTTGTTCAATAGAGGGCAAATAAGTTCACTGAGGTATCTCTATCTGTTTTCCCTGTCTTTTTCTGTGTCTCTATCGGGCCCACTTGGCTTTAGGCCCAAATTGGTAGAGTGGTAAACAGAAAAAGTCTGAGGCAAAGCGGACAGCAGAACAAGGCAGATGTTAACCTACTTGACGACACCTGCCTGAGGGAAAATAAACTACAGTTACTTTGATGTTTGAGGGAAGAACAACCTGAGAACTGTATAAAGGTGTTTGCGGTCACTTCAAGTATGACATGAGACACACGTTTGGGCAAGAATGGAGAGAATGACATGAAAGGTTCTTCAACGTTATTGTTATTGTAAAGTAATCCAGTGAAAAAACAAGAACTGTTCCATAATTGTCAAACCAAAAACTATTTTATAAACTATAGTCAGCCAAATGTTGGCACTGGATGACATGTGCCTTCATACTGTACCATAAGGAAGGCAATTGTAGTATATTTTTAAGTTGATTCCTCATACACTGTTCTGTAAACACACACTAGCGCACTAAATGTGCATCAATGCTGTTATGACCTGGCTCAAAAGGCCACAACAAAGTGGGAGACACACCATATCAATGGTTAATAAAATATGTTTATTTAAGCAAACAATTCAAATTAACCAAATGAATGAAGTGCAAAAATGAGTAAAGCATAAGGTGTGGACGTCAGTGGTATCAGTAGTGTAAATGCAGGGTGAGGGTTACATGGACGTGTAAGTGTGAGGGTGTTGAGGTGCACAAAGTAAAGTAACAAACAGCATACTCAACAGAACCGGGTGCCTGTAGGAAAAAGCAGAGAGAGACCGTGGCCGTTTCTCAATCGCAAGTAAAACTGCTGCAGAGCAACTATTTCAAGTATACTACGTCATCGAGTGGCGCCGAAGGACTGTTTAAATGCATGTTAAATGCCCAGCATTCTGCGCCACTCTATGACGTAGTATACTTGAAATAGTTGCTCTGCAGCAGGTGTACTCGACATTGAGAAACGGCCAGAGAGGAGCAGAGAGGCTTTAAGTAGCTGCAGGGCACCAGACCCAGGTGCCTTGAGTTACTGCAATCGAGGCTGGACACAGCACAGCCACACCCTCTCCAGATGAACCCACAGGGGCATCACAATGCTGAAGTCCTCAACAAATGCTCCATTTACTCCTGTAAAGTTTCAGTGGCTTTTTTTAGGAAATTACTTAACTTGTGTTAAAAATAAAACTGATCAAACGTTTAAGAAGTGGGACAAGGATAGATCACACATAGTATATGTAAATAGGTTTTTTTTCTTTCCCAGAGCTATGGTTTAGTTGTGGAGAAAGGATGGAAAAAAAGAGAAGAAAGAACACTTGTAACTAGTGATGGGCAAATGAAGCTTTGAATGAAGCATCGAACCACTTGGACAATTGTTTCGAAAATAGGTTCATTTCTCGAAGCTTCAGTTAAAGCGACCTCTCCTGGCGAAGTGCAAGGCTGCAGTGGGTTTAACGTATCTTTGACTTGAAAAATATTCGATGCACACACATACTAAGATGGAATATCATGTTCTATTTGCAATTGAAGATTGATAATTGTGTGTATTGGGTTATTGAGAAGAGAGTGCTGGAAAATGTGGCATTGGTTGGGTGTGCTTGTGTAATTATGGCAGGGGGTGATTATGTGGGATGGGGAACACTCAAAGATCTTTAATGAGGTAGCCTACATTATTCTTTTTATTATGTATTTTTCTAAAGGCATTTTTCTGTCCGGAGAGGGCCTTTTATCAGTTATAGTATTAAAGTTTAAAAGCGGGCAATGATTAAAAGTTCA